TTTTCTTTTCTTTCTTCTTTTTTCAAAGGCCTTGTAGCCCCTAGATAGCTACAGAGTCAAAGGAAGTAAGACACACCCTCACCCACCAGTCATTACACTGACCTTTTAAAATGGCATTTGGATTTTTAAAAAATATTTATGGCCCAAGTCAGAGAAAATATTCCTTGCTAGGCAGAGCTGTGTTTCCTACAGGGTTTAATCCTGTTTCAAACAAATTCAGTAAGAAACCACTGTCTTTAAACCTGTAGGACTAAGCACTGTAAAAACACTCACCCTCAAAAGAGAGCTCAGAAGCAACACTTCTCTTATATCAGGTTCTAGGAACTGAGGAGAAACAGACAAAGCAGCAGAGCATCAGACTCCTCCTATGAGATACTAACCTCCCATATTCTATTTTTCTCCTCTTTCACAAAAATATTCTGGCTCTAATCTACACATTTCTGTTTGAGTTTCAAGGATTCATGGTAGATCTGCAAGGACTTGGTGAATAGGCCTCAGCTAAGGTGAAGGCCCAGCACAGGCTGTGGTACCGTGGACATCACTGAACTTTACATCTCCATTATTGCTGTGAGCACCATGACAGTAGCTTACAAAGGCCTTGATAAATGCCACCAAGAGACAGCCAGGCTCAGGTTCAATTGTCTGGTAGAAGTTCTCCAAGCTCAGAGGGCAAGGTGAGGTGTAAGGAAAGTCAGTGGGGTCATCCCCAAGAAAGCAGTAAGTTCTTCAGTTTAATGATTCATATAAGGCTTGAACCAGCAAACCATTTTTGTATCTATGCAGCTGTAAGTGCTTAAGAGACCCACTGCAAATGGGAGCAGCATAATTAAAATTTGCTGGGTCACAGACCCTTTTACTCTGGCAAATCACATTATTTCTCATAAGCATAAAATGTGGTGGCATTATGAGTCTTTTCTTACAAGCAAGAGTACCAGCAAAGGTCTAGTACTTCTCCCTGATCTCCATGAGCACAATCACTCCAGCTGAAATGTACTACCATCACTGCTGGGGTGGGTGGCTGTCAAAAGTAAGCCAAGCTGAACTCAGAAACTTCATCACAAGAAAAGAAAGCATAGGATGATAACAAGTTGATAGTCTGTACCATATCTCATCTTGAGCAAACCACAGGATGATCACAGCTGAACCAGCCTTTCTGTGAGCAAAGATGGTGCCTGAAGGATGAGGTGCAGTGAGAGGAAGAAAGGACAAGTTTTCTGATTCAAGTTCCATTAAGAGGATGCTTTAGCAAAGAAAAAGCCCTACAAAATTATCTGGGCAACTAGACATTGCTATCCGCATTGTTAGGTTTAAGAAGCACTTGCACTGACTTGAAAAACAGAGGTTAGGTATTCAGAGCGGTGTCAGGCTAAGAAATCAGGAAGCCATTTGTATACTTATGTGGGGAAGAAGGACAACTGTTTCCCACACCGTTTCATCTCCAGGTGCCATTTAGACTTTCTCACCATAAGCCATATCCTGTAGTTTTTACCTGAAGCCTCATTTTCTTTTGCTTCAATATGGTACCTGAATTTTGACATGAGGAGCACTTGTGTGCTTCATTCAGCCCTTAGTTGCCTAAAATGGTGATAAAAAGTATAAAAATACAAATCTGTAACTGGCATTAGGGCATATTTTTTTTTTAAGAAAAGCTCCTTCTTATTTTAAATGTGAATATGAAGATTGCTGGGCAAAGCCAAAAGAGAATTTGAAAGTTTGATTAATTGTTTAATATCTAGTTCTAGCTATTTACAATCATGTTTTGTCTTGTCATTCATAATTCTGTTATATTCCTTCCATGCATTTATTCAACTCAGCTGTTAAATTAGATAATGTTGAATTCACCTCAACCTTTATGCCTGGCAATAGCCTCTGTGGTCACAAGGCGATTATTTCATTAGAGGAACCATGCAAAACTGGAAGGAATGTGGGGTGTGAGAGGGGAAAAAAAAAGCTTTTGTTGAAACAAAAGAATATCTTTGGTGAGACAGATTTGAACAATTATAGCTCTGGCACTGTGATAGCTAGGAGATGTGGGAATAAATACCAGCCAAGCTCTTCTCACACTATAAATACTCTTTTTTTTTTTTTTTTTTCTAAATTGGCTCAGGCATGATCTCTGCTCAAGCTTCTCCTCTCTTCTCACCAGAGGATGGTACTCAGGGCCCTCGCTGCTCTGCCACATCCTGCAGCTGTGCAGGAGTACCACGAATTGTCACCCAAATTTTGTGTCACAGCGCCCCCGGCATCCCATTTAGCATCAGCAGAGAAGGTCAGTGGCAGCACAACCTGGGGGTGGGAGTCTGAATCTGGATATAGCAGTTACCCTGAAAACATTCCCCATTCCTTAGATAACTGCATAGCATTGCTTGTGTGCAGCAGTGTCTATACCCACACTTAGAGGTTACACATATTTTGCAGTATAGTTATTTGGTTATCAAAGATATTGCTGAAGTTTCAGATAAGGACTGGATTTTTCTATATATAACTAACAGTAGGGGGTGGTGCTTTTTTGGATAATGGGATTTTTAGATGCTGGAGGTTGAAAGAGATCGGGAAAGGACGCACATATGATCTTTCATATAAAGTAGTCTGGGGGTAATGCCTGGCTCACACTCCTATCACATTGCCTTTGATGTTCAGACTACGCATCAGATGTGAAAAGAATGACTGACAATGCTGAAACAAGGAGTGGTGTCTAATGAGCTCACTGGGGCTCATCACTCTCAGCTTTGACATTTTAATCTGAGCCCATCAGCTTCTAACAATCTGATTCACCCTTTTGTTTGCCCTCCGCTCTTTGTTGTTGAAAACTGACCATCTCCAAGTCATCTCCAGAAGACAGAGACAGTAGTTCCGTGGACCACAAGCCTCTATAACTGATGTCTGTTGTTGTCCTTTTCCCCTGCTGTTTTCCACTTCTGACTGACAGACATCCAGCTCCAGGATTTGGCTTGTAAGGCCAGTGTTGGTCACCTGCCTGCCTTCACATCCCATACATACTCACCATGAGGAGGCAGTGGCAAAGGAATCTGACTTTGCCAGAGCAGCCATAGTAACTCCTGTGTAGATCACAGGACAGCTGCCCTCCTTGCCAGACCTTGGGGATCTCCTGCCATGTGTGTCCCCAGGCTGCTGTGTATTGTAATTTCTGCAGACTGATGGTGCTGCACAGAGCAACTGGATGCTGGGCTTGGGTAGGATGTGCCCTCCGTACCATGGGGCCCCACCAGGCACTGCTGTGCAGGGGAGCTGTTCCAGTCCATCCCAGAGAGTAACTATGGGGCTACACACATGGCTGGTACAAAGAGGTAGAAACTGCACTGGTTTTGAATCTTTACACAGCAGAGATGCTCCTGACACCTTCATGATTTCTATCAAAACTGTCTTGCCAAGGTTTGTGTGAACATCACAGGCATATTGCTGACTGACTGTACATACTGCCATTTAAGGAGATAAGAACCGTAATACGTTATGTTATTTCTTTGCAGTCATGAGAGACTGTGAGTGAACCTTCCTAAAACCTCATGTTAACAGAGGAGGGACACAGTTTCTCTATAAACACCATTCCCAAAACTTAGGATCCTTTCACCCTGTCAATCACTGCAATTCATTTAGCTACTCAGGGCATTTCTTTCTGCAAAGGCCACACAGGGGAAAGCAGCTCATGGTCTCATTTGCTTCCCACAGAGAAGCATTGGCTACTCCTGTTCTGCAAGACCCTGCAATGCTGCCTTCTTCCAGCTCTGGGACCCAGCTGTAGGACAGCTTCACCTGCAGGTGAGGTCTGGGCTCCTGCTTACCAGCCACAGCCTCCTACATCCTTGTGTGCACACAAAGGATGCATGGGCATACGACCCTGCCAAGAGCTATGCCATTCCCCAAGCAGCTGCCAAGCTGGAGGGTGAATCAACCAGGATTCCAGGTGGCAGATCATTAAGTAAATCAAAACACAGCTTTTGTGGTCCAGTGGATAATGGCTGGCTCTGCTTTAAACATCCTAGGGGCATTTCAGTGTGATTCCCATGTGTCTGTGATAGCCTGTCCCTAAAAGGCAAAACAGTACTCGCTCAGAGGCCTCTATGGCCTCAGAGCCATAGACAAAAATAAGTCCTAGGTTTGGTCGTTATTCTGGTGGCTCCAGTTCTGCACAACAACAGATCTGCCCGAGTTAAGAAAGGACTCCATTCAGTATGTGCCTTTTTAATCCTTGATTAGTTTTTAGTGTTTGAATAATGGGTTTTGTGACAGATGTGATGTGTCACATTTCCAGGCTTTTAGAGGAAAATAATGGGTTGCATGACCTTTCCCTTCTCAGGAGTCACTCAGCCACTGAGCTGTGGTGCTGCACGCTGCAAATAACTGTTTCACCTGGCTAGGGTTGGGTAGTCCCCACTCTACATTTCATATTCAGCTCACTTTTCAATGATTTATTTGTAATTTCAGCTAAACCACAGTTGAAGTTAGCCAGCACTTGGCTGCTCAGTCAGTGACAGATAGCCCTTGCCAACAACAGTTTGTTCTGAAGGTCAATATAACTGGGAGACTGAGAATAAATTGATAGGTTAAGAGGTAATATATGGGAACCGATGCCCATCCTCTGTCCGAACACCAACTCCCCAAGCACAATGTTGTCATCCAGAAGACCTTCCTCTATTTTCCTCCACTGCCCTTGGTCGAAGGTAAAAGCACCTCTCCGTAGTCAGAGCTGAGCCTGAAAAAGAAGAAACTCCGAAAAATAGCCTTTCAGAAAAAAAGAAAGGCTTCTTAAAAACAAGTCATTGTGCTTTTGCCTTTGTCACAGCCCACGCTTCGGTACCGACACCATCCGGAGCCCCAGGGAATTTTACGTTTCAGCTCTCAGTTCCAATCCGGCCTGGTTAGTCCTGTCCTCGCTGCAATATTACCCTGGGAGCACCAGCCTCACCTCGGCTTTCTTCTCAGAAGCCTTCCCTGGCAGCAACAACCCAGTCAGTGCCCCCGCTGCGGTGGCCAGCAGGTCCCTAGGAGTTGCACTCCTCGCAGTGGCAGGAGAGGATGTAGCGGTAGGTGGCGGTGAGCCGCATGCCCCCCGAGCACCGCAGCCGCATGGCCTTCAGCTTGGAGGTCTGGGGCCGGCAGCAGTGGCAGGTGGAGCGGAAGGGCTGCTTCAGCACCGTGCTGAACGAAACCATCGGCTCCGAGCGCGACGTCTGGCTGCAGCGCCCTTCGCAGCGAGCCAGCAGGAACATCCGGGGAGGGAGAGAGGAGGGCTAAG